TGTAGTCATTAGAAGTATTTGCGTGGCGAATTTTACCCCGATCGGATAAATGCTTCGATAGTTATGAAAGAAAAGCCGGAAAATTTCTGTCTGGTAACCATGCAAGTTAAGGAAAAATTGTGTAGGGACATTATTGTAACGTGTTCTAGGGATTATTGAAGTTATCTAGGTTAAACCTGAATTTCCCTTTATAAATATGTAAATTTTGACTTAAATAATATTTTATTATACAGTGTTATTATGAACCGGATAATGTACCTACAGATAGACCAATTTTTGTTTAAGTGGCAAACTGGGTCCCCATATCACCTAGCTCGATAAAAATGTCCTTCAAAACTGTATCCGACGGTACAAAAGTATTCCGTTTCCCATTCCGTTTTGGTAATGTTTTCCTTTAAAATTTCCGCTCATTTTTTCAGATATAATCTGTCACAAATATCAAAAAAATCAGTTTTCGCGCGGGTCTTCCAAACATTGCATTAAAAATACTTAAAGACACAGGGGTTTAAGAAGGGGAGTAAACATTTAAATTAACAACAATAATGTGCTAGTAGTCCATGTCAAAATATGAGATTTCGTATAGATTAAAGAACTTGTAATAATAAAAAAATTATGCGAATTAAGTACAGATTCTAGTACAGAAGGTAGATTGAGGTGATGGACAGGCCGAGGGACGCGATCTTCGTCCCTTTATCCAGATCCAGCTGCATGCCTCGTGTGTACTTTGTAATAAATGGGTGCATTGTTAGGCTGGAACCGCAGGAACGGAACGGAACGTAGCGTTGCCATTTATTCCCGCGCTTTAATTACTTCCAATCTTACAGCGGTCATTAATCACTAGAACGGCGGCGGCAGCGGAGGCAGCGGCCGTTACCGCCAACAACGCGCCTGCTGCTGCTCCTGGCTGTTCTGCTTTGGCCCTTCTTGTTCGCAACTTGCTCTTGCCATCGAATTTAAAAGTCATTTTTTGTAGTTACTTATTTTTAAGAGGCGCAGATCTAGTATACTCAATTGAAAAACTTGTTGAGAGTCTCAGCACAGTATAAAAACTTGATACATTTTCTACAAGATTGTTCATTTTAGTTGTGTTAGGTTTAGCGAAAATATCTGGCTGATATCTACATGGTTACCTTTCTGATTTTTCAAGCTGTCGAAAGAAAATCACGCAATTTGTTTATTAAACTTGAATAAATATTGTTTTTACTTAGAGTACTTCTTGATTGATACTTCACTTCTAAGCACGCATTATGTTCAACATGTCCTTGGTTCTCCCATAAAACAGAAGTGAAGAAGCGCAGTACCCAGTGCAACCGTTTTTCTATAATCTTCGTCCCCAATATTTACAATATTTTCAGTATTTTAATAGCGCGTCGGGTATGTCTATGCCTCTGCGTTTTCTTTTCACAAAATGTTTGTATCTCTTCCAAATCAACATTTATCAAATGGACAATATTTATCCCTGTGCGTCATTAATTTTCGATCCCAATTTGCGCTTTAGTATGATAGTTTATAGACTGTCACGCAATAATCGAGTGAAATTCTTTGCAAGCTCATTCAAAAAGCAAAACAAAACTAAAAATTAAATCGAGCGAATTTATGCATACATCGGCGGAATACTGCGTAGGCTGGTAGCATTGAAATGTTAAGGATCCGCTTATAAAGTTCAGGATGCAAATTAATGAAAGAAGACGCAAATAATGAATGTTATTAACATGCAGTAAGAACATAATCTGCGAAGGAGGCCAAGTAATGACAGTCAGACATGCACGTATAAAACTGAAATTCATTTTTTAATAATAAACAGTCTATTACATTAAATAATTGAAACACTCATGACAAATCATATCACAATGTTCGATTGAGTGTGTAGTTTTAAATTACACAGATAAATAGATTAGCGTAAAAAGGTTCACTTAACAAGTTATTTATTAGCAATATTCCTGGGTTTCAGTCATTTATTTAGATATCCCAATTTATTCAATTTTCTTAGAAACGTTTCGGCGTTTTCCACCATCATTAGTTTGTTCGTTGTAGGCAGTTGTTGCTCTGCTAGGTTTGGGAGCAGCAACTCAGCTCTAGAGCGTAAATCTCAAGATATTTCCCAAAAACCCTAAAGAAGTATCTGTAAAAACTATTCCAACCTGAAATTGGATAGCGGCAACAGGGAGTAACACGAGTTCGCACTCAGTGTGCAAGAAATTTTTTTGAGAAGTTAATATTGAAAAGGCTGACATTTATGAAGACTTTAGTGCCGAACAGACGATTTTCCAAGCAAAATATTCTCAGGCAAAAACTTACCAGTTCATTTGGAGTACCTGAATGTTTGGAAGAATATAATTTGCCTACTGATTTTTAAGAAATAGGTTTTTATGTAGCTATATGATAAATAAAGTAATACTTTGTTGCAGCTAAAATGCTCAGAAAAGGATCATTTCTAAATTCAATCTAATAATTTTGTTTATTACAATTGGTTGTAGCTCAAAAGTGCCTTTCTTTCAGCACTCAGCCATGCTCTTAGGGTGGTGACAATATTCAAATTATAAATAATTTTTTTACATATTTAAAACTGTTGATAGCATCCGGTCAAAATCCGTATTGAACAGTTTTTATTGCCTAAGAATGATGCGAAACTTTATTATTAAGACAATAAGAAAACTCTGTTATTAGTCATAAGCAGCATTTGAAAAACTTACCTGTTTCATCCGAAGAAAATTCTAAAGCATACGAAAATAAATGCGCTATAATTTCGAAAACGGCCGTTATTTAAAATTGGCTTCATAAAATCCACAAATCTGCGCATGCGAGCAGTGTAAATGCTATCAAAAAACTGCAACCCTGGTCGCCATCTACTTCTACAAAATGAAATGTTTTTCGGATTCAGACCACCGAAAATTTCCTGAATCCTCTATTTTTTCGCAAAAAAACTCATTTATTGGCTGTTAGGGTCCTATTCTGTAACTATTTCGGTAAAATATATACTATATATAATATATAATACGGCCGCTTAATCTCGCTCTGTAACTTGATTGTCCGTTAAACACATAACCTAATTGCATTATAAATATCGGTCAGCCGCTTATTTTTACGGGCAGCCTAAAAGTAGCCGTTAAGTATAAGTGGTCAAGTTGTTGAAAAATTAATATCATCAATTATAAGTGTTTTAAAGAAGAAAGGTACTGTTAAATGTTGCTCTTGCTGTTTGATTTGCTTATTAATTTTGTCCACAGGACACAATTTCGCTTACATTGAGGACATTTTTGAGACACCAGTAACCGATTTAATATTCCCGAAGAAAAATTTAATTTAATTTTTTGATTTAACAAAATACCACTAGAATTATAATGCCTGCCGGATTTTAGAAGTACAACAATATCAAACGAAATAAGAATATTAGTTACATTTCACTTTTATGCCACTGGAAGTTACCAATTAACTCCATGGCAAGGTTGTATAGTAAGAAGTTACAGACGTAATCAGAATGGGTTTTTGCAAAAGTTCAATGTTTCATTACGTTTGTYCACGTGATTCTGTATTATGGCAAGTTTCAAGAAATATAATGAATCAATTATAAAAATAAGTATGGAAGATCAGTTTTGTCATAGGTAGTAATTCAATTATTTTGAACGACTGGATACCCAGATATACTAATAACCCCAGCAACTAATTTTAGTAAACATATAAGGCCTAGAAATATTGTAAAAAAGGTAATAGCTATTCTAAGGTCACAATTTAGACATTTACTAAAGCATCGTGATTATGATCTAATAAAAGCAGGAAAAATTCCATAAATATTGTTGAGCTTTCTACATAATTTAAAAAATTTTTATAATCATGATTGTACTTGTTGAATTAAGAAACAAACTAAACAGACAAATACTTGAGACAGATACTTGTCTTGCTTCAGCACTAGGTTTTATTTTAGCCCATTTTAGGTTATCAAGATTAGAAATTTAGAGATGTTGTTATTTTTTAATTATTTAGAAAAAAATTATTTTAATGTTGTCACTTATTACTGTTGAGAAAGTTTAACGGAATCCGCTAAAATATGTTTTTTAACGAAACGTCGAAATTTACGTATGCAGATTAGCAACAAGTCGATTGCGATATAACGGACCGTTAAAAATGTTATTTTTGAAGGCCTTTAATTTTTATCGGAATAGTTACAGAATGCGGCCCGCAGACTAAGGGCCTTAAAATGTTGATCTGGACAACCTATAAACTGAAGGGGGCTGGATGGCCAAAAATCTGAGATATATCTGACAGTCCGCTGAAACTCACTAGCACGAATCGTTTGGCAAAATTAATTTGTTTCGAGTGTGAAATTTGACAAAACCAAGACAATATCTAAATAAGTAGTTCATGATCACTTGCAGACATCACCATCACAAAGCAACAAACAAGTTCCACCTACCTTTAGGCATTTTGGTCCGGATTCTGCGCTATTTTAAATTGATTTCCAAAAGAAAAACACTAGTGTTGATATCTCGATTATGAAGACTTTTTCAGCATATTGAATTGTAAAGTTTAATTTAAATACAAACTAGTGCGCCAAACCTGATTGATTAATATTGAAAAGCTGAGTGAAAATAATTAAAATTGTACAAACTGGCAACTGTTGAATTTCGGGTATAATTCACAGAAGCTAAATTTCAACAAGAAGATATTATTATTATTAGAAATTACAAAAACTTGCTTGATTGAAGAAGCTAAATTGCCTAATTATCTAATTTGAGTCCCTCCTGGGTTACGATAATGAAAATTTACTTCCGTTATAAATTCCCTACCTTCCTCTACTAAGTATAGATCCCTTTACTTTACACTTTCTTAATAGATTTTTTATCAAAAATATTTTTCCGCCATTTCGCGGTTCAAAAGTTTACTTTTTTTGTTTTTGTAAAATAACCCACATATCTACATAAAGTGTTTAATCAAACCAGTTTTGTTCATACATCAACCTTTAATAAAATAAATAAATAAATATTGATAAGATTTTGTATCTTGTCTCTGCATATGTTGCCTAATGGGAAAATGTTGGACTTTCGATCATCGAAAAGTGGTAGTAGACTGCATTTCTGCAAAAAATGTCACTAAGTATTATTAACGTAGCCCTTCATTATCGAAATTCAGAACGATCAAAACATGATGATTAGCAGGAAAAACACCATTTAGTGATTACTTGCTATGTAAATAATTACCTTAGATGACAACATAAAGTGTATTTCACAGCAGAAGGCAATAAAAAGTATAGTTCAAAACAGAGAGTTAACAGTTTTACATATCGAAAGAACCTTCTGTAGGGAAAGTATAGACATAGTCTGTAGAGAGAGTCTCCTGAAGCGTTAATTAGTTTTACAGAAAAAAAAATTGAAAACTTTTAAAACTGAATCCAGAATCCAGAACGTCCCGCGTCGTTCCTTGTCGAATAAATATGACTTGCAGCAATATGTAAAATTGGGATTTGGATGATTGATGCACGTCAATATGGGACTAAAAGCTCTAAATCTACATGGCAACCAGGGGCAAAGTAATTGTAAACTTACCAAATGCTGCATCGTAACACCTGGAAAGAAAGAAAAATATTCTTTAGTATTACAGAAACTCAGTTAAAAGTTTAATTATTTTAAATTAACAGGGGAAAATTAGAGAAAGAGAAATTAACTTCAACTGCTTCTGGAAAAACTAAGCTCAGTTCAAGCTAAAGTACTTATGGATTGGAAATCATGTTTACCAGCTTTCTGCCAGCTGGCGCCCAATTCTCCATTTTCTACTTACTATTCCTCAAAAAACTCACACTACACTATAACAAACAATAAAGGTCCACTCGGAATTGAAAACTTTAATATTTCCGTTAGCAGAAATCGGATAATCTTGGGCACTTGCTTTATTGGCACCAAATCATCCTGTATATGTCACCGATGAACAAAGGTCTGACGACGTATTCTGTTCACTCCACGTATCAACCTAAATATTTCACCTTTACCAAAAAAAAAACTGAAGTGATATTGAGATTTCTATCACTTTCTAAATGCAGCGAACTTCAGAATTAACATGGTAAATAATATAATTGTTGTCTCGATCGTCCCTTTTTTGTAGAAAGTGGCTGTTTGTACGCAAATATTTTCAAGAACAAGTTTCTGGTTCAAACTAGTTTGGATGGTCGCTGTGAACAAAACAGGTTTTACAGCCAAAAATAAACATCTCCAATCATGGAGCAAAATAAACTTGTTCATATTGAATAAAATGCTCTCGGATTTTTATTCAATTTTTATAAAACTTTGAGTGTTATTCAACAATATGTTGGGTTATTTGGCTGAGACGGAAGAGGAAACTTGCTTTTCACACGAGCTCTAGATTTAGTATTTTGCTCAATTTTTATGAAACTGAGTGACAAATTCTGATTTTTATGCAGCAACTGAATGTATCGTGCAAAAGTGATTTAAAGAGAAGATAAACATCGAATCTGCACGCCTCATTAAGGAAAGTGGAATCAGTAGCTTTATTTTTGGTCGAGTTCTCGGATCAGCTTTTTGCTGAAGTTTTTAGGGCTTCAATGGCAAAAAACCGCTTAACTGGGTTTCTTCTTCTGGCACTTTTCCACGTTAACAAAATTATAGCGATTGAAGTGGAGAAAGTCATAACTCGTTCTGTGAAAAGACAATAGAGAAAAATTGATGTTGTTATTTGATTAAAATTACCACGATATATAACAATACAATACTTTTCAATTAATAACATTTAATATTGTAATTGAATTGAAGCCTGTTCTGACTGAATTTCTGGTACATAACCCCCCCTGACTTAAAAGTTGGATCCGCGTTTGATCTTAGAGTTTTACAACCCTGCAACCAGCAAAGATGGTGTGTTTCCAAAAATATAAATTAAAAACTCCTCCTTTAGTTTACTTTATTTCGCAAGCTTAACGGACAAAATTAAATGCCAAAGCAAGAAAAGTTTGTCAATTTTGAATGCACGATAATTGCGTAAAACCAACTTGAGTTAAATCCAAACAGAGAAGCAAAGAATGAGATTAACGTTTGATTTTAAATGAAAATACTATTATTTCGAGTCAATCGATTACATTCTGGAAATGACCACCACCAACTTCCATGCAATAGAAGATATTTTCCTCAAATCGACGTCGAACATTCTGAAGCATCTGTGGAATTATTTGATCAGATTCGATCATAATTCGGCGCCGTAAATCTTCCAAAATGCTGGTTTAGTGGCCAAGATTTTACTTTTTCGTAGCCACATCAAAAGAAGTCTTAACCTTAAAGACCTTAAGTCCGGAGAACCAACTTCAAAATGGTTTTTTTCATCACGTTGGTGTTCATTTTATTCATTGAAAATTTGCGCCATTCTAGTAGTTTTTCGAAGGTACCCAAAATAAAATGCAAGTATTTGTACCTTTAAAGAAATATTATACTCCTACAACTATGGATATGCAGTGCTACTTCACCCACTCAAAGATATTAAACTGAGCGAAACCAAACAAATTCTTTAGTATCTATTAAATCATAAATACAATGTACAAAACTTCAGTTTTCCTAGTACCAAGAACTAGTTATTGGTTACTTATTTTTGCAAAATATAGAAAGTACAAAATTTATAGTCAGTAAATTAAAAAAATTGAAAATAATATCAAAAATTCTCCTGCTCGGGGGTTGCAGATAAATTTAGTTTAATTCCCCAAATACACCTGTCCAATGAGTTTTTGGTAAATTCTTTCAGGTGTGCAAAATGGGTGTGTTTTGTTTTCAAGCGAATTCAAGCCCTGTATATCAAATAAGGCCATAAAAACTTTCCATAGAAAATTAAATATGAATAAAATTTTGTCTATTTAACAGGTTTTTCATGATTTTTTCTATCTCGATTTTCATGTAGTTACTTCGATCCGTACATCCGTTCACTTTAGAGTAAACGAACTGTGCGATCAAGACATAAAAAGCCAGTCAAACTCAAGTGAACATCTCTATAAAATATCAATAAACGCGTTTTGTTATCATACCGAAACGGTTTCCACAGTTTTGGTTCAGTTCGAATAAGCCGAGAACTTAGTGTCTATAAAATGTAAATTGAGTACGAAAATTACCTTAAAGCATCGTAAAAATTAAATTAATGCAATTTTCATTCATTAAACTCCCTTAATGATCGTTTTACGTTCGTGTAGTATCTGTGCATATGTAAGGGTTTTATAGCCATGTTAAGTAGTTTGATTATGACAAGATTGCATGTAATAACCCAAACGAAGTTTGATTCCCTAGCATGTTAGACAATCATTGCATTGCATAAAAAATGCGACATGAGAAATGTAATTGATTTTTTGAGATTTTATTTCAGAAAGTGCATCCTAAAATTGAGAAAACATATTTTTATTAACATTTTATTAAATTAACATTCTTTGCAATATTGAAAATACGACTTGTGATTTAAAATTTGTTGATTGCGCATTAAGCAAGCAAAACGCCATGCAAATAAATTAGCATTCGCTTTACATTACTCCACATTTGATATTTTGCTTGCATAAGGAATTTCCATCTATTTTAATTGTGTATTTAAATAATATGAGTTTCCTAACTAAAATTATCATGCATAATTTCGCTCATAGGCTTTTGGCGTTCACATTTTGCAGAGATAAAATTTAAACACGTACTAAAATGAATGAAATCGAAAATACTCAAACTATCTCAAGCTATGAACATTGGGGAGATAAATTATATGCCTTCCTCGTCTGTAAATCAGAAATAAGGCAGCATCTGAAATGTTTTGCTGTATGCACAAAAACGAAAAATAAAGTAAATGTTATTATTTAGATTTATCTACCATGCACCGATGCGTAATATGTTCATAGCCATTAAATGAATATTAATCTACTCATTTACGACTGAGCAAAGAAACTACACTGCCATGGGCCTGATTAGTTCGTAAATAAATATTTTATTCTGTTTGTGACTCGAGAATCACGCCGATCATTTCCTTTAAAGAATTAAAACGTGGTGATTGGCTATATTACAACTAGATTTGTGCGATTTGCACTCCCAGATGTATGTAGAATAGTTTGATTATCAGATCCTCCCTTAATGATATTTTGTATGCTCATTTCATTCCTCATCATTGCGAAATAGCTAAAATATTAATATGCGTGCAACTGTGTAGGTATAAATTGCGCAGTTTTGTGATAAAACGGATCTAATGAGTTAGTACGCATTGAAATAAATTGGAAATTTGAATTTTGAAATATTAAATTTGATTTTTTTATTAGCAACCTCCGTTTTTCATACCGCCAATTCAAAAACGATTAAATTTTTCAAACAAAACATGTTTCTATAATATTTTTTATGGGTCAAGAAGAAAAGACATTTTTACAAAAAAATTCTTTTAAAAAAAGAACATTTCTAAATTAAATATATTTCAGAAAACCGATAATTTGTTCGTTTTTTATTTTATCATTTGCTTCTAAATGTAAAGCAATTGGTTCTGGGTTACTGACGTTCCAAATGCCCACTCGCCAGTTGGTAGAATTCAATTGGGTTGTTAATCGCTTAAGTAAAATTCCAATAATTTTAATTATAACTATTTTTATAGAACTATCAGAGCGCAATGCGGCAAAGGATAAAATAATATCCGGTTTTAATTATTTAAATATAATTTCATCATACGTATACATGAACTGAAAGCAGAGTACTCATAGAATGGCCTCCGAGATCTCCTGACCTAACTCATCTCGATTTATTCATGTGGGGCTACCTAAACTCTATCGTTTACGTTGACGGCTTAAATTATATTGAGGAAATGAAGATTATAATAACATAAAATTGCAATTATCAAAAGCTACGAATAGTTACTAAAGAGTTTGAAAATCCCTAAGGACTTATTTGAAAGTCAATGGGGCCCAGTTTAGACTTCTACTTTAATTTTTGCCTTGTTATGGTGACTTTTTACATTTTATTTTATTTTGTTTTTGAAGCATAAAATAGTATAATTGTATTTGTATTCATATTTTTCACAACAGAAACACAAAGCTTTTGTTAAGATAAAATAATTGAAAAAAGTCAACTCAATGAACTTTTGTAGCACAATTGAAAAACATTTATTTTGAAATGCTGATATCAACTGTTTGATCAATTTAAAGTTCCTTGCATAAAATGTTCCAGTTTTTATTATTTGTTTGTTAGGTGATACTTGTGTTGATGGAAGCGCAAGCATCAGGTATTTACCAAATTTTTGTGTGAAGATGTTTGAAGATGAAATCTATTACATAATTCCTAAATGTATGATTTCCTCTTCGGGAATAATCTAAGGTTTTACTGAGAATAAGTTTGTTGGTTTGAACACTACAAAGTCAACACTATCATTAAAGCTGCGAAGGGTGATTCCAGAAATACATGTTTGAAATATTAATTTTTTAGATATAAAACTATGTTGTTTTAAGTAATAAAATTATTTAGTTATTCGATTGGGCACTATTCATTCCCCACTTGTATGTTGCACCTTGCAAAGAGTTGAAATCTTCCATCAAAACCATTTTGAAAATATAGTGTAAAATCAAAAAATTGTTCAAATGCTACAAAATATTGTGTGTTACTTTTTGTTAACACCGAAAGCTTAAGCAAAGTATCCCCGGATTTAAACCAACATAAATTTTGTACAACTTTCAGCACTAGGAAACTTTCGACGGTTATATCCAGTTATTTGGACTATTCCTGAGAGGGCAAACTCGGACTCCTGCGGGACCATGAAGGGATCTATGAAGTAGAGCCCCGGAAAATTTTCCGACTAACGCTGTAATCTCTAGAGATGCCGCACGCGTTTGATTGATGAAGCCCGTCTGTTGGGATGCTGTAATTGTTTTCTAATTATTTGTGCCAAACATTTGGTTGCTGCCGAGGATGCCATTAACTTATTAACTCGGGAAAGTCCGATTTTTACTGTTATCGTGCTCACGTTAATTCTGCAGGGAACTTGTACACCAGAAGTACTCGTATTTTAGTGTGTTTACTAATTGTTTCATTTAGTGTGTGTTTTTGGCCGAGAACCATCTTTGGCCAAAAATAATGTTTTATTTATCGAGAACTTTAATACATTTTCAAAAAGATTAGAGTATATTTTAATTGCTACAGGAACACGGCAAATATATTTAAAGCAAACAAAAACGAATCGTGAAACTTAGACATACCGGTACATTAATATTGATAAATAGTATCAAAATCAGACTATAAGTTCTCAAACATCCAGTCGATGAGCGAAATTAGCTGAATATTTAAATTTTGGAGTCGCGACTTTTTAATAAGTAGCTTTTAAGACGGATGCATTCATAAAAACCCAATGATTGGTATCACTTAATAAATATGTTTAAGATTGAAACTGATAAGAGCTTTGTCAGTCTTTTACAAGCACGAGCAGCTGTCATGTTCCCTGGATGCTTTGGCCGATTTATATTCGGGTTCTCTAGGAGATGATGTAGATTCTCTTTCCCGAATTGAACTCGTGTCTATCACCGCTGTTTTGTTCTGGTACAGTGCGGGAAGTCAGATCTTGATCATTGTCTATGTTTCTTCTTTAATGTTTTAATGTGGTAAGAGTTCATATTGTGCGTATGGACTTTATAAGATTGTCTGGTTAGTCGGGGACGGTAGGCCGTTGTTGTGGTCAACACTAACGTCTCGCTTCATTTCGGCCAATTTCATATCGGGTGTTCCATCACTGAGAGCATGTGCAGGGTCGATTAAAGCACTTCCTAAGCTAGAGTTTTTTCGACATTTCGACGTTTCCTTAGTCTGGTCTTAACTTGAATATTGTTCTTATATAATGTTTTCCTAGCAGCCCACCAGTTCTAGCCGTAACTTTTAGAATGAATAGTAGAAATGCTTTGCGTGTTAATTGATAATAAACCTTATTGATCATAGACTAAGAGTAGACAGCATCAGAAATCAGTTGGCAACAACTGGAAATAACTTCAACCGCTCTCACGCTAGCTCTCAACTCAAGAATCCAAAGGAAACTAGACTGGGCTACAGAAAAACAGAAGAAGGAGTTTGAGCAATTAATAAATACTCAAATCACACCAATGTTGAATCAAAAATGAGACTTTGAGCAAACTGTTTTAACCAGGAATGAGACCTTTTGATGATTCCAAGAGAAGTTCGCATCCTCCGTAGAGCAAAACAGCCAGCCGCTTATTTCAGCATAAAAAAGCAGCATGCTTTCAAAGGGATCAGCTGCAATACGCACACCGTTGTTCTGGTAGCATGAGCAAAGAAAAATACAAACCGAAGATCCAAGACCATCAGCATATGCAAAACTTCAGGTTAACAAAAAAGATCCGAGTCATGCTTTCAACCGCATAGTAAAATTTTTGATAATAAACGAAACTACTAACAATTAAATCGTTAAATAAGGGCAACTGGCCGCTGAATTTTAATTAATTTCTAATTCAACCCCAATGGATTTCTAATAAATTATCAAGAAGAAGCAATTATATCGACAGAGCTCCAGTCTCACTAAGGTACAAAGAGGGAAAAATATTTTGCCAAGCTGAATTTTTTGTTAATTTTTAAAAAAGATGAATGCTAAAGTTACTAAACATTATGATATTTTTTATTATTTTTTTTAAATTAATGTGTTTTTCTTTTATTGTAAACGATCCACCAAGACGCAAATTAATGAATTAAGATCATATCATCAGATTTAGTCAGAAAGGAATGAAGAATTATTCGAAAAAAAGGGCCTTTAAGAAAAAACTTTGCTCATCATTACAGGCGATTCCAAATTGGGGTCATTCGTTTTAAGAGGTTATAGGAAAATTTTCTTTCCGAGATTTCTAGAACGTATCAACGGTTGAAAATCGAATTTCAATGTTGCTGATAATTATGAAATGGTCTCACGTTTGATATGTAGCTTATCGGAATACTTAAGCATTTTAAATAAAAAATCTCTATATTTGCTTCAAATTTTAAAATTTTTAATAATAAAAATATACTACTCTTCATCAATTTTTTGATGAAAYTTGAAAGCGGTAATAATTGCTTTTTATAATTATCAGATATATRCAGGTAGATTGCTTTTGTCAAGAATAACAAGCATTTGTCAAATTSTGACATACGCGAACAAGTATTGGAGATAATTGCGGCAGAGCCTCCCAGAAGTGCTCGGATGATTGCGCAACAACTAACACTTCTCCAGTCAACTCTGCACCGGAWAATTACTRAGGAAGGAGGAAGGGCCACATCAATACCATATATGTAAAATACAGAGGACATATTAAATAATTGGTCTACTGAACACCAGTACTGGTTGAGGACGAATTAGTTAACCGAATACGAGAAACTGTCCAAAATGGTGTTGCGGTAATGCTGCGAAGAGTGCCCGACAGCGTGATTACAGGGGTATAAACATATTTGGTTCAAYCAAGGTTAATGTTSTGTTAAACACACGTCTTGTCAGTTGCCCATATTTCAAAATAGTTCTTTTCAAATCTACAGATTCATATMTAAAAAAWWWTTKYACCAYAATCACCATAATGTTGTTCTTAGTTTTGCGTTAGTAACTCGTCAAKTAATTCCAAATAGATCATTAATCCATAACCTTTTATRTTGRCATYCGTTTACTAAACCGGTTAGCCTAACCTATTTYATTGCATTTCAACCTCACTTTCTGTGTTTATCTATGGTTACTTGAYCTTTTGATATTAAAGAAGCAAMAGKTRTTTAGGTATTGTTAATGACCAATTTGGCCAATTTTATATCACCCTGTATATTGCATTGGCGTATTTCTTAAAATAAGTCAGTGTCAATTATCTGGACGCCMTTGAAATAAATAWAAAAAAGAAAGTWTCTATAAAGCAGAAAATTCYTTTTGATACATTACGAATRCATAGGTACTAAGTTTTCCAAAAATAGCTTACGATATACTACAGGTACGATATAATACAGGTATRATAAAACAGCTTTTTCTGACTCTATTYACTTAATTTAATTGCAGCTAATGAGGATGAAGTGWACTTTTCCAGGTRGAAYAAATGAAGTTTTCAAATWCGCTTGTTTATTAAATTGTATATTATACCTAAAAGATTTTTGYAGAAAACACATTAAATTAAATTGAAAAACATTCCASTAAGATTTAAAGGGCRTTAGAAAGTTWACAGGCGCTAATTYTCAATCAGTATTCTGTAACTCTTTCATCTTCTATAAACATAACTAATTAACAACCGCACATTTTCAATGGTATTCTAAAATAATTCARTCAGTTTAGGCGGACAAGTTATTGAYGAATCAATTTTAAAGATAAGGGTTTTTAAGTAGTTGTTTAAGTACAATTTTTGAAAAGACACATGATATTGGTGGCGAAGTTCTGACAGGCAAAAACATCGAAAATGGAGTAAAGTAGTGCTAATAGTCGTCCCTTTGGWTTGATTTTCTTAGCACTTTTTATACAGATCACAACTTCGACTGCATTATGGAAGCCTTAAAAATATCAGTAACACATTTAGTAGCRTTYCCGAGAAAAAATTTRAYACCATGTTGCGGTTTATTAAAAGTTCCACTACAAACATAAATGACTTGCAAGAAGCAGTRCAGCATTATCAAACGAAATTAAAATATTGGCTGATTTACATTTTTATGCCACTGGAAGTTACCAATTAACTACCTGGCAAGGTTGAACAATAAAAATGTATTTTAGTAGGTATTCTGATATGTCGATAAGTCGATGAAGCAGATATAGATATTCAAAGAAGAAGAAGAAGGTCCCCAGACCCCTTTTCAATGCAAACTGCCTCTCACTCATTTTCCATTTGCATAGCAGGAATTTCATGCACTAAAATTTAATTTTCCTCCAAAAAGAGCATGCTAAGAGCTTTTTGAACATTTGTTGTTCGGGATGAACACAACATTTTATTTATTTTGTGTATCTGCTTAATTTAGTTTGCAAAACAAACATATTAAGACTAATCTAAATTCATTCTATTAATAATAATAAGAATATGCTCACATTAAGCCAAACCTTACAATAAAGGATAAATAGTTACCATCCCGTCGGTGAGGTGAGAAGATTTAGGTTAGATTTGGATGTTGCCGCCTACACTTATTTAAACCGAAAATAGCAATTTATGAATCAACGTGATAGTGGTCCGCTGTGAATGCTATTTTTAAGGTCCTAAGTTTTCAGTCATCCTAAGATAATATCCGGACTATAGGACGAAGAGTCAGTTCTCTCTAGAGAGCATGGCATGGCATTTTAGGCACTTGGAACCGGAATTTTATATATAAATATTGTAAAAGACGCTTTTTTGTGTGTATTCAAATTTCCAATAAGTGTAAAATAAAATTTCATCACAGCCTAGTTAAAAACAAATCATATCATAAAGCGCTGTTCGCTGACTGCGATTTAAGACTACTTCATCAGATCATTAATATATATTTTTAACATGTAAGTGATAACATGTATGCTAATTGGTGAAAGTAGCAACAACATATCTGCCAATTCAGATGTTTCCTCGATACAGCACAATTAGTTCGCATAAAAGAGATGCAAAACGGTGCATACTGTCCCCTCTAATTCGAACAATAGTAGTAATTACCGAAAATAATAACAATAGTTTCGAAGCAGATTAAAGACCAGTGGATGGCGATTGACTTGTTTGTGTGGTGCTGAGCGTACGTACCAACAAAGTAATTATCCCCTTGGTGGCGAAGTGAGTGACACACGACAGCGTGAGAGCATTTTGGCCATGGTCATTGTTTATTGACGAACCCGGAGTGAAAAGTGTCAGTCAAAATGGGGGACGGCGTGAGCTTCTGTATCGCTATAATTTTTCGGAGGGTCCATGCCATTCGAAGCGTGGCGAATCTAACTTGGGAATTTGCGTTCGAACTCTGGGGATTTGGGTATTCTGTTGTTTCACGTTTTCACTCGTTATAAACCTACCGAACGTACTAATCAGAGCCACTCAAGTGCTTGCAATAGTCGTGTTTTGTTTGACTTATTGATTCTTTTTCCGTACTATTTTTTGCACACACATTATTTATTAGTCACTTAGGCTCTCAGGACGTCGAGATGTCGGGACAAAATTTGTCAGTTCATATATCGACTTATTCGTTGATCAGTCATGTTGGTTAACATACAGGGTGTTTTTTAGTACGAGAGAGTCCACAGAACTGGCCATTTTTCATTAGCTCATAGAACGCAGCTTGAAACTCTGCATAAGTTGCTTTTTTCTCACTTGGGACGTTGGCAGATTATGGCCATTTTAATAAAATTTTGCTTCAAAACATGGTATGTAAAAATTCATTGTAGAAGCAAAAAAAGCAGCTAAAGATTAGTTAAATTAATTAACAGTTAAATACTTCTTTAAACATTTTATTTAAAAAAATTTCGCAAAATTTTTATTTAACCCTAAAGGCACAGTAAATATAAAACGTGAAAATTGCATTGGACTATTATTTTATTATTGTCATCTCAACACAAAATATAACTAAGGCACAATTAATAGTTTTCCCAAGTATCAAAGTTCTGAGTTTAAAATAGTAATTTAGCGTTTCCTGTGAGTATTCTAATCAAAACATTTTAAAATACAGGGTGATTTAAAATTGACGTCATTACTTTTAAGGGTATTTGTTAAAACAAAACCAGCTCGATAAGAGTGGATAATAAGGAGATTACACAGGCACTAACTTGTTTCGAGTTAATGGCTTAAATGTATGTTTATTTGTAAACATGAATTCGAGGTTATGAGGACAATAATTAACATTTCAAAAAAGTACGTTCCACCGTTATCCTTGTCAATTTTATTGACACTTTCTGTTTAATTCCATAGTTACCGGAGTTTTTCATAATTACGAAGCAACAGGTATTTCCGTAATGCTAATTAAAAACTCTTAAAACACCGCCAGACAACACCTCCCGATGACGCAAATTTTAAATCACCCTGTATATATGGATTATTCCCAATATGCTATTGATCAATTATACCTTAACAAACAGATACATATGTACTAAGATACAAACAAATTGTGAAATACAATTTAGGCTGTAGGTCCTAACCTAAGGTAAACGAAATTTATTTTTAAAACTAATTTTAGCAATATTTCGATTGCAAGAATTAGCTGAAGTTTCAATTTTTATATCGGTAAATACTTGGTTAAATTATTGATCAAATCGTTCCAATCCGTCATCAGAAAATTGTATTTACTTAAGCATCGACAATCTTAACATCCTGTCGAACCTATTAAGCGATTCTTGCAGTTAAACATTTTCGAAATTGCAACTTCACTGGCCACTGGACACTATTTCGGTTTAATTAATCGCAAAATAATCCAAACGACTGCGCCAGTTCCACATTCGGGACACGAGCGGTTGCATTTTGAAAACACTATTTGCAGATTGCTTTGAATTTTACTAATAAAAGAACAATTAGAATTGACAAATGTATTGTTTGAAGTTGACTGACTCCAACAACAAACTTCAACAACAACAAACAAATTCAACAACAAATGACACCATCATATACAAAGCTATTYATATTATGCGACATGAAGGATTGCCGCTAAATTCACACATTTTTGAATATTATCACTTTAACATAAAAGGAGAGTTACTCATGCTCACTRCACATACATAACTCATGCCAACTAGTCGTATTCTGAAATACAAAAAATCRTAGGTACATTTAACAACAAAAAAGACATACTTTTACAAATTTTCATGTAATCATCCTTATACGCGAGAMAAAAAAMWAAATACTGAAAAATCTTTTTTTCCACATTTTGATGGTTAATTTGAGGTTAGGTATGTCAAAAACTGTTAAATATAAAAGTTTTAGATTTCTTTATKATCTACAGCTCTGCTATTGAACKATTGTCSCTACGAGATCACGTTTTGCCGAAAATCGCAAAACCAGTTTTCAAGCCCTAAACTGCACTACAATTTCATCATTTCCAGTGATTTCGAGTTTAATTTGTTAAATATAAATATAAATAAAATCTAAATGAGTTGGAACCTCAATTAACATTTTCTACCTGCTCCAAATAATGGTTTTTCATAACTATTATCTGCACTGCCCTACAAGCATTATGAAATTTTCTACAGCGTGATTCAAAATTGGCGTCATTACTCTGAGGTGCTGTCTGGCGGTGTTTTAGGAGTTGTTCAAAGGACTATCCAAAATTGCAATTAATAGTATCTAGTTTTGAAAACTGTACGATAAGGAAAATTTACTCTAGATGGCGTATTTAAAAATTTCAACTTGGGTGATGTAACGTTATYTTGAACCACTCTGTATAATTTCATCTTACATCGAAACCAGCCAAGCRAAAATTTAGTATATTTTATTTGCTGCTRTAGCTGTAGTTTCTATACTTGCTAAACGTAWACCGTAGAWTTAAACTAGAAAATATACAGGGTGATTMAAAATTGGCGWCATTCCTCTGGAGGTGTTGTACTCGTCACTGTCATACGAGTACAGAAAAAAATAGTAAAAGAAATTAATTGTTATTTGTCGATGAATGATTAAGTG